GCGCGTCATGTGTCGCCATACCACCGCGCGTCCTAAAATCAAGTTAAGAACGACGCCTCGCGGTTCCAGAAACCTTCGTGAGGCATTTCTTGGACGTATGTACCGGGTGTTTCAGAGAAGACGCAGGTGCGAGCGGGTTTGCCTACCCACTCTCCCCGTAAGGCGCCATAGCCCCTTGGGTAGGCAAACCCGCCCGCACCTGCGTCTTCTTTGAATCACCCGGTACTAGTGCAGTCTACTCTTCAGAGCTCTGAAGGTCTACTACCTGCCCACCGGCAATACGTATATTGCCTGCCGACCTGAGAGCCCGTGGGGTCCTTATCCCCCCCCCCCCTCCGGAGCCCTCCTTAGGCGCTTTTGTCTTCGCCAGAGTGGGAGAGGGCTGCTGCTGCTTCAGGGAACTGTGAAATGTGTCAACGGCAACGGAGTAAACAAACATGTCGTCCGGTGCCGCGCCGCGAGGGGAGTGGTACCAACAATGTTTCTTGTGACGGTGGCGTGGTGGTGGGGGGGGGGGTATCTATTGTCCCGACAGGTGAGTGCGTGCGTGTGTGTGTGCGTGTGACGTGACCAGAGTGTCACTGTGGGGGCAATGCCATCGCGGGCGTACGGCCCCTGCAACATGCATGAGAGTCCTGAGTCCTGCCCTTCTCTCCATGCCCAGCCCCCCCTCCCCCTCCACACACAAGCGCGCACGCACACACACACACACACACACACGCGCGCGCGCGCGCGCGCGCGTCGAGGGGCACGGGGTTGAGGTGGTCCCTCGCTCACCTTTGATATTGTTGAGAATGTACCGCCGTGCAGACGTGCGCGACGGGCTTGCCTACCGTCGCTGACCACGGCGGACACCGGTGTCCCCGAGAGCGGAAAGGGAAGAGTGGTTGTCGAACGGACACACCCGCCGAAACGCCGAAACACTGCCTCTAACGCCGTCAGCAGCGGCGAGTTTGGGAGCCTCATTATGCATCTTCGTGATGCGGGTGCCATAAAATCGGGCAGCGGAGATGCCCGGGCAGCACGGGCCGGCCAAGGTGAAGACCGGCGTCGTGGGCGTGAGAATCGGAGAGGAATGTCACAGATCAGCGCTGGTACGTGCCGGAACGGAATCGAGGCGGATTCTCCGAGACTCTCGTTCCTCCCGCACACCGCAGGAGGACGACGACTCGGACCGGGCACTGCGCCCGCCGCCTCCTCGCGGTCGCAGTCGGGGAGGTGAGGTGAGGAGGGCGTCGAGACCACGAGGGCAAGTGAGTAGGATTACAACAGTGTCGCACGGCCCTCGGAACCGCTCGAGGGAGGGAGGAGAGTCGTCTCTATGGCGTCTACCGCCGCCAGAGCAAACATTTGCCTGGGCATACATTCTGCGCCCCTTTAGTCTTCTTGGAGTAGGGGGTGGTGCGGGTGCATTTGGACCTCCCTGAGAAAACGCGGCAGACAGAGAGTGCTCCGTGTAGAGTCTGCACGGCTGGCCGTCGGGAAGCAGCCTAGATCGCAGAGAAATTATTTATTTCTACTGGCCAGACACCAGTAGTCAGTAGATGGACACTACTGGGAGCCGACCGACCGGGCGAGCGGCGCGACAACGACCCCGACCCGACCCGGTCGACCGGGTCGGGTCGCCCCGCGCGCCCCACCGACCGGTGACCGTGTGCCATGCTGGTGTTTCACGGAAAGAGGCAAAAACGAGAAGAAAAAGAGCAAGCCGTTTGAAGGTCGCCCGCTGCCGTGGATGGCCGCGGTGGCAGCGGGGCCGACCGACTCCAGCAGCAGACTCCAGAGCGCGGACGTATACAACCCCCTGGGGGGCGCGCGGTGTCGTGGACACACGGCAGCACAAGAGCCGCTCGTTCTATCAGAGCGACACGATCGCCGAATCTTTCTCACCGTCGACAAAAACCGCGCGGCACGGAAAGAAGGGAAAGGAGGGGGGGGGGGGAGGTAGAAGGGGGGGGGGAGTCATCGCGGCGACTAACGGAGTGACTAAGAAGCGGCGAAGTGGTCGCGACGACGAGGCAGTCAGCTGCTGACAAATCCCTTTTGCCCCGCGCCTCGTGCCCAGGGCCCGGGCCGTCCCGTTAGCCAAGCCGGCTGATCGGAAGCTCGCCGTCGGACGGCATGCCTGGGACACGCACGGGCCGGCCCTGGCGCCAGCGTGCAGCACCGCCACCGGGGAGCGGCCCCCGCGGCCAGCGCGGAGGGTGGTGAGCTCGTCCCCACACACAGGGCTGCAGGGCCGCCTCCCTGCTGGAGGCTCTTCAGTGTGGGTGGAGAGCAACGAGCGGAAGGTTTTCCTAGGTTTTCCCCCGGCCGGCCGGCCTCTTGCTGGGCCGGCAGGTAGGCGACGGGCGCGTAAGGCACTGCGGGCGGGGGAGGTGCGGGGGCGGGGGACGAGCCGGGCAGGTGGACGCGCCGCCGCCGGCCCGCCTCGGAGCAGCCCCGCCCCCTGGCCCGGAACGCCCGGCGCACCCCTTGCTTGCTTGCTTCCTGCTACACCACGCACGCAGGCGCAGGCCAGGCCGCGGATCCAGACGCATCATTTCGAGCTTCAAAGTCGTGCGGTTGTACCCAACCGGTGGGCTTATTCCACCACCCGCGGCCCGATAACGCTTTCGTTTGCATTCCTCTGCTCCGCACAGGTGGATCGGGGATCAGCCGCCCTCCGCGGAATGGTGGTGGTGGTGTGGAAACCCCCCGGAGTAAGCTGCCTTAATTTCATGATTAATGTGCGCCCCTTTCCCTTTCCTTTTCTCGCGCCGTGGTGTGATGTGCATCTGGGCAGCGGCTCTTCGAGAGCTCTCGTGATCTGATGCTGCCGCCCTGGGGTGGTATACTTTCGCTGGCGGGGTGGTCCGTCCCGGGGGGCCCGCCGCGCTAGCGCCAGGTACGGCCGTGCCCCGCCCCGCCACCAACGCGACTCGCTGTTGTTGACACCTTCCTCCTCCTCCTCCTCCTCCTCCTCCTCCGACGAAGACAACGCCGGTCCACGCGCAGCTTCCTCGTCCTCGCCGTCCTCACCTGGGCTGCCTCTCGCGAGGGTCCTGGCGGTCGCGGTGCAGCAGCGGTGCACTGAAACTTGTTCGGCGAGCGCCGCGCTGCTGCTGTTGTGGTGCTGCTATGGAGCCGGCCGGCCACCGGCCGATCACAACAAGCACACACACGTCAACTCTTCTTGTGGCGGCAGCTCCACGACGGCGACCTCCTCCGGGAGTCGGCGTCGGCGTTGGCGATGGTAATCCCAAGGGTGGCGGCTCAAAGCACAAAACACACGACGGAACACTCGTCCACACACGACGGCTCGTCGGCGTCGGCGGCGGCGCCTGCTTCGGGGCCTGCAGCGGCTGCAGCAGCGACAAGTCTCTCTCCGGTGCTCGGAGTCACTCGCCAACCACGACTAGTGGCCCGGCCCGCGCCCGCGGTGCGGAGGTGGAGGCCTGCCAAGCCTGCCAAGAACCACGACTAGTGGCCCGGCCCGCGCCCGCGGTGCGGAGAGGAGGAGAGGTAACCGTCCCGAGGGGCCCGAGAAGGCAGCCGAGTCGAGCCGAGCCGAGCCGAAGGGGGGAACCGGCCGCGGCCGGCTGGTGCGCGGGGGAGGGGGACGGGAAGGGGGGTGGAAGCCACCTAACACACGTTTGGTTTCTTTACCTCAGTCATCACCATCCTTCTCCCTCTTCTCCCACCTCTCGCTCCCTCTCTTCTCCCTTCTCTCTTTCTACACACACTCACTTCCAGCTCCAGAAGCTCCCTGGTTGGCTCGGCTCGGCTCGCTGGACAAAGAGTCT